AATAGGAAATGTCTACATACGAATCTTGGGGTAAGATTTGGACATGAATTTTGAATAAAAAATATATATTCAGATATGAATGCCAGATTAATCTAGAGGGAAAACCATGAACAAAATACCAAACTTCGTAAAAATAGGATGAGATTTGACCGAGTTATGGGAATATAACATTTTGACCCAAGTCTATATACGAATCTTGGGGTAAGATTTTGACATGAAATTCGACTAAAAAATATGTATTCAGATTTGAATGCCAGATTAATCTAGAGGGAAAACCATGAACAAAAAGCCAAACTTCGTAAAAATCGGATCCGGTTTGACCGAGCTATGGGAATATAAAACTTTGACCCAAGTCTATATACGAATCTTGGGGTAAGATTTGACATGAAATTCGACTAAAAATATGTATTCAGATTTGAATGCCAGATTAATCTAGAGGGAAAATCATGAACAAAAAGCCAAACATGGTAAAAATCGGCTCAGATTTAACCGAGTTATGGGAATATAAAACTTTGACGCATGTCTATATACGAATCTTGGGGTAAGATTTTGACATGAAATTCGACTAAAAAATATGTATTCAGATTTGAATGCCAGATTAATCTAGAGGGAAACCCATGAACAAAAAGCCAAACCTCGCGAAAATCTGATGAGATTTGACCGAGTTATGGGAATATAAAACTTTGACCAAAGTCTTTATACGAATCTTGGGGTAAGATTTTGACATGAAATTCGACTAAAAAATATGTATTCAGATTTGAATGCAAGATTAATCTAGAGGGAAAGCCATGAACAAAAAGCCAAACTTCGTAAAAATCGGATCCGATTTGACCGAGCTATGGGAATATAAAACTTTGACCCAAGTCTATATACGAATCTTGGGGTAAGATTTGACATGAAATTCGACTAAAAAATATGTATTCAGATATGAATGCCAGATTAATTTAGAGGGAAAACCATGAACAAAAAGCCAAACATGGTAAAAATCGGCTCAGATTTAACCGAGTTATGGGAATAGGAAACATGTCTATATACGAATCTTGGGGTAAGATTTTGACATGAAATTCGACTAAAAAATATGTATTCAGATTTGAATGCCAGATTAATCAAGAGGGAAAACCATGAACAAAAAGTCAAACTTCGTAAAAATCGGATTTGGTTTGACCGAGCTATGGGAATATAAAACTTTGACCCAAGTCTATATACGAATCTTGGGGTAAGATTTGACATGAAATTCGACTAAAAACATGTATTAAGATTTGAATGCCAGATTAATCTAGAGGGAAAACCATGAACAAAAAGCCAAACCTCGCGAAAATCTGATGAGATTTGACCGAGTTATGGGAATATAAAACTTTGACCCAAGTCTATATACGAATCTTGGGGTTAGATGTTGACATGAAATTCGACTTAAAAATATGTATTCAGATATGAATGCCAGATTAATTTAGAGGGAAAACCATGAACAAAAAGCCAAACATGGTAAAAATCGGATCAGATTTAACCGAGTTGTGGGACTAGGAAATTTTGACCCATGTCCATGTACGAAACTTTGGGTAAGATTTTGACATGAAATTCGACTAAAAAATATGTATTCAGATATGAATGCAAGATTAATCTAGAGGGAAAACCATGAACAAGAAGACTAACTTCGTGAAAATCTGATGAAATTTGACCGAGTTATGGGAATGGGAAATTTTGACCGTTGGCTTTATAGGATAATAGCAGGTATACCCCGGCCTTGCCGGGTAACTGGGTATCTTTCTGTCGAGCAAACGGGCACTTTTACTTGCTTGATATATCTTACCTTCAAAAACGTTGGGTATGCCGCCTTCAAAGTAGACCAGAGCCGGATACTCGTGGACACCGTAACCATCGGCCACAGAGAAGTCACGTGTTTTGACAAATGTGATGCCATGTTTATCGCAGTCGTCGTCAATATTCTCCAGTTCCTCTAGGACTTTGGTGCACTGCTCACAGCCATCGGCATCTGAGAGAGTTTTTTGATTGATTGTGGAAAACGGGAATATATGCATATTATAACAAAGAGTGCACACTAGACAAAGGCGGGCGGGCGTGGGGTGTGGCAATAAAACATACTACGAGCAAGCACTACACATAAACTAAGCACAAAATGGGAAAACAGAAGTGGAAAACTTGTGTTTAGAGAGAAAAGCAGCAAAGTATACATAAAACATAGAAGGTGGTACAGCTACAGCACAACAGACATATATATAGAGATATATATATAAAGAGAAAGAAAGAGCGAGAGAGAGAGAGTGTATTGGCAAGTTCGGTGTGCTTGGAGTGGGTACTGAAGTTGTTTTTCAGGTGCGCTACAGCAAAATATCGGGTAAGACATTCTCAAAGGTGTATGTACATATATATACGTGTGTGCGTGTGTGGGTGTGGGTGTGTGTGCGTGTGTGTGTGTGGTTAAACATTCTTGGACTCATTCCATTTGTGTTATTAAATTTGTCACGTATTTGCGCTACCATCTTCTTGTTTGCCAGCTGAAGCGTTGGCATCCGTTGCTCCACCCTCGCCACCCTCGGCGCCCTCGGCACCCTCGCCACCAGCAGAAGCAGCAGCAGCAGCAGCAGCAGCAGAACCACCGCCACCACCACCTGCCTCAGGATCGCTGCCAAAGGCGGCCGCTGCACTGGCGCCGCCGCCATCCTGTTGATGCTGTTCGCGCTCCTTTTTCAGGCGCGCCTTGCGCATTGCTTTCGAATTGCAAATATCGCACTTGGTCTTGTTCCCTACGTTATTATTTTTGTGCATTTTGTGGCGTTTTTTTTTTTTGGTTTAAATATTTTTTTAAATAGAAATATAAATGTGGTAAAAAGTCTTGTTGGTTAGATACATTTGAGCGCAGATAAAAATATAGCTTAAGTTTAAATTATAGTTAAAATGTTATGATTGAAAGACCTGCTTATACGAAATGATTGACTGCAAACTGTTTGCGCAAAAGAGTGAGCATAAATTATATCGAGCACTTGAATACACTATCAAAAATGTAACAAGAGGTTTGGCAATGAGAGACAGACACAACATTTAGGCGCCGCAAAGTATGCTATAGATTAACAATTTGTACTCAATATAAGTTTATGTCACCAAACCGATTGCAGCTGGATAAACTTAACAAATTTAACTCTTTTTTTTTTGTATCATATTATTTGTTAAATATATCGCACGTTTTGGTTATTTTGAACTTACAGAAGTATACAGCTATGGAGCCAGACTCTTCGATTAACTGAACGAGTCGTTCGCCTTCGAGATCTTCAATAACATCTCCACTTGGATCCTTTTGCGTAAGCAACCAAGATAGGATCTGTTCTTCTTCATAAAGATCACCTGAGAGCAGAACGCCAAATAAATGCCGAAACTGGTCTAATAAATGTGGTTCGAATATTAACCGGCGTATATAACTGGCTCCTTGGATGTGGGCTTAAAGAAGACGATAGCGGGCAGCGCGAAGACGCCGTATTCCTTGGCCATTTGCTTGTCGTCGATCTTGACAAAATCAATGCCCGCCTTGTCCGCATCATCATCGATGTGCTCCACCTCAGCCAGGACGCGTGGACACTGCTTGCACTCCTCGCTGTCTGTTTGCGACAATACGAATTGGGATATACTCTACTTTCACATTTATTCGAGTACTTACAGAATATGACCGCCACATAGTCGGAATTCTTGCGTATTTTCTCGAACATCTTGCGATTGACCTGCTCAATGTGATCGGTCATTTCCATATTGGCCGGACTTGTTAGCCAGTCGAGCACCTCCTCCTCGTCGTCGATGTCGCCATCGTAGTTGATGTATTTGCCTTTGCGGAAATAGGTCAGGCCGGGCGGATTTCGAAAGCCATATTTCTTGGCCATCAGCTTGTCATGCATTTTGACTATATAAATGCCATATTCAAGAGCCTCATCGTCGATCAGCTCAATGTGTCGCAGCACACGCGGAGAGTCCGGATCATCCTCTTTGTCTGAAAATAATTCAAATCCAAATACACTTTGTTGATAAATTTAAATGAAAACAGTTTTCTTTTGCATTTTGTTGGGCAGTTACAGTTTTTAGTGGGCGCGCAAATTCATACTTTCATAAGTACATACATATTTATATATGTATTTGATTTATTTTCGGTTTTTAGATCTTTATGCTTAGAATACCTTAATGTGGCGCATACTTACAGAAGACAACCGCTAAAAAGTCTTTGGTGCCTATATATTCAATTAGTTGTTCTCGATTAATAAGCTCGATGCTCTGATCGGCCTTCTGCTCCAGTATCCAATTGAAGACCTCCTGGTTACTCTCCAAATTACCTGCATATCAAATTTAATGAAGTTAATGTCATTTCATTTAAAAAGGGTTTTCTTTTTATTTTGGTTCCAGTTGTGAACATACCTGTTGGCTGCAGTTTGGTCAATCAATCAAGAGTTGTTTTTCTTTTCATTTTATAAACAAAATTTATAACTTTTGTTCTCATTTTAAATATATATGTATATATGCTTTTTTTGTTGCCCCTTTTGGCTTTGCCCCAATAACATTGGGCATTGCGCCAATATTTTTTTGGGACTCTGGAGACCGCGTTAATTAGTTGCAAACATTTGGCTGACAATGTGACGAAATTGTTTTCAAAAATGTGTTCGAAAATAATGCAAAAATCTTTTATGGTTATACATAAATTGCGACAAATTTGTTTATATAGCTGAGAATAAGAACCGCTTGCGTGTAATGAAATCATTTTTAATGCTTTCAACAAAAAACAACAACATAATAATCTTTTTTTTTTTTTTTTTTTTTTTGTATTTGTGCGAACGCTTAAGTATATAAAAAAAGAACCTAATTTTGACTTTGTTTCTTCGTGTGAAATTTACAATTTTTTTTGCTTTTCGCTTTACAGTTTTACAAAAAATGTTCTTGTTTAATCCATTAATTAATTACATATGTATAAATAGTTCATTTAAAAAGAGTTAATAAAAACTTTAACAAAATACATTTTGCTTGAGTTTTTCTTTTATTTTGCTTCATTTTGTATTTTTTTTTTTAATCTTTACAGCTGCTGTTCAACAACAAATATTTTAAAAATTCTTACAAAAGAAATGTGACTCTCAGTGACAAAAGGCTTACAAGATAAGCTAAGGAAAATAAAATTAGAATTCGATATTTTGCAAATATCGATAACAAATCGCTAACAGTGAGCCGAGCCGAGTCGAGCCAAGCCGAGCCGAACGGGCGCTCAGAAAAGAGAGAAGAGACGAGAGAAAAAAAACAATATGGCGAGCATTTTGCGAGGCCAGTGTTGCAAATCTAGCGAAAGATTTGACAGCCACTCATAATATTAAGTATACGAACTGTATGATGAATATAAGCGAGTATTTTTTTATATTTTTTATATTTTAGATATTGCGCTTGCTTGCTTTTGTTTTAATTGCGACAACAACAAAGAATATAAGTTTAGTTATGAGATATATGAAATATATATGCTTGGCTCTTTACGGTTAGCTATGTAAATAGTTTAGTTGTATTGTAGTTTGCGCTTCTCTCTCATTGTAAAATTGTTTAAAAAATATTTATTTGTTTTGTGTTTATACTAGCTACATACATAAATGTAAATTGTATATTGTAACAAAATAAAAGTAGTAAGTAGTATCAAAAAGTTTATGCTCAGTTATTGACAATTTTTTGTGTTGGTTTTTTATGTATTGTTAATTACGAATCGTTTTTATTTTATTTTTTAGCTAAATATATACCTGAAATTCTGAAAAGTTGGTCATATATTCGAGTGTGTGCGTGTGTGTGTGTGTGTGCGTGTGTTAATAGTAAGTTTTGTTGTTGCAGTAATTGCTTTAAATTTGAACAAAGTTTTGTTGGCGCAATTGAAATCCATTGACAAAATGCAACAAATTTAGTTTTTAGTTGTGGTTTGAGTTTCAGTTTTACAGACAGGCAGCCTCGACAGGAAAATTGTCAAAAGTGCAAAAGTACCAAAAGTTACGTTAAGTGAATTAGTTAATTGTAGTTTTGAGTTGCGTAGCCAACGTTAGTTGTTATTGTTAATTAACAATAAGGCTGGCCAGTTGGCATATAACCTGCCCTAACCGCTGCAGTTACGTGTGGAACAAAGAGTAACAGTTCGTTTTTCTTTCCAAAAGTTTTGCTTTTGGTTTGGGTTTTTCCAAGAAATTCGTTTTAAACATTTTCATTTGATCGGTTGTCGTTTGAGTAATATTTAATATTAAAGTAACGCATTTGGCCGACAAAAAAATAAACTCATTTCTGTTGGGCAGTGTAGCTTAAGGCTTTGTTTTTGTTTTTGTTTTTTAGTATTAATTACACAACCTGCTGAGTTAAGTTGTTGTTGCTGTTGTTGTTGTCTTTTCGGATGCATGTTGCACTTACAAATTATGATAATGACAATCACAAACAAAATCACACATTACAGTTTATTAAAGTATATAATTAATGATAATTAATTATAGATAGTAACCCGTTGTTCAAGGTTTTTTACAGCAGAGAGTTCTTAGATCTTAGATTTATGCGTGCTTTGCTTTGTTGCTGTTGTTGTTGATCTTGTTCTTGTTCTTGGTATTTGATTAACTTAATTGCATTTGCTTTTTGGCAACATGACAACAGTGCGTATACGTGCTACTTTAATTATTGCATATCACTGAATCATACAATCATTCGAATTGCTTTTGTTTTCTATATATTTAACATTCAGTTTAAAATTGTTGCCTTACTCCCACAGAGAGATATCCTGAAAAATGAGGTCATACAAATTTTTTAGTCGATTTTGGAAAAAATTAATGCCTGCAAGACACAAAAAAAAAAAAAGAGAAAAAAGAGAGAGAAATATACAAATCAAATTACAACCAGATATGTCTGTTTTTTTGAGAGTGTGTGTGTGTGTGTGTGGGTGGGTGGGTGCTGGGTGGTGTGTGCACAACAACAAATACTTGTGATTAAAAACTGAACAATCTGTATAGTATATGGTTTGTGTCTTACAATTTTGACAAAATATAATTTAAAAAAAAACTATGATTTATGTTTGGGTACTTTTAGTTTTTAATATCTTGGGGTGGAACGCGACGTACCGGTTTTAACGTTCAGCTTATTGCCCGACTTCTTGGACGATTTTTTGGTCTTCTCCAGCTCAATGGACTCATCCTCCTCCTGCTGCTGCAGTTTGGTCAGGGGTTTCTTGGACGCTTGGCCGGAACGCTTGTTCGCATACGACACCTTCACCAGGGGCACATCATCATCATCATCGTCGTCGTCGTCGTCATCATCATCATCGCGCTTGGACTGCTTCTTTTGGGCAACGGGCTTGGCTGTGGGTTTAATTGGAGTGCTCGATGCGGAGGCAAATTTAAAGTTGCCGCCCTGACGCTTGCTCGATTCACCATCGCTGTGTCCGATGCGTTGGGCCGTCATTTTAGGAACTTTGGTTGACTTCTCCAATTTGGTTGGACAGCATTGGAATGGTTTGTAATCGTTGGGCACATAACTGTTGCCGCGCTTAGCTGAATGGCCGTCGTGACCCAATCCAACATAGAAACATTCGTCATCTGTGTGAGCAAACAAACAAAAACATTTTGTCAGATTGTTTTAGTTCTTAATTTTGTTTTTTATTTTTTGTTTTTTTTTTTATTTTGTTTTTGGTTTTTTTTTTTTTAATTTAAAGAAATCACTAACAAGAAAATTTATTACGAGATAATCAAAAAGTAAACAAAAGTGCATAAAAGAGTAGGCGAGAAATAACGAAATAAAAGTCGTAAAAGTTGCTTTTATTTGTTTCAACACCTTCGAAATTACCACAAAGAGCAGTTAGTACGATTTTCATAATATTTTCTTCATAGATAGTTTGATAGATTGATTTCTTTCTAGAGTAAAAAAAGCGTGCTTTATGAATGAACAAAATTTTTCTCAAATCGTTTTTTCACATTAATTTTGCTATTCAACTAATAACTGACAAAATGCTTTTGATGCTGACTGTACAGGTATTAAGTCCTAATTCAGTTTTTGTACTAGATTTCAATGTTTCGATCGTTGTGCTTATTTTTCTTTTCATATATTTTTCATATTTATATATTTGGTTTTTACTTTATCACGTTGCACAAAGACGCCTTTGGTTTTGGTTGTATATATCATTATTTAGCAGAGCGGGTTCGATATTAATTATAAATTAACAAATAAAAACGTTTGCTTAAGTATTAAAAGAACAATAATTATATCAATAATCGAAATAATCAAGTTATTAACAATTTCTTGTTCATAATATTTTTTTTATATAATTAAATAAAAGAACTTTTCATAATATAAAAAATATAATTGATTTTTTTTGTTGATATATTTTCAAACATTGTGTCAGCTATGATTTTTGCATTTTTTTATTATTTTGTTTTTTTTTACCAAATTTGTTCACTTTTTTTTTTTAGAGAAGTTATAGGATTGGGTTCTTCAAACGGTTAAATCGAAGCATTGGATAGGTCTTAATACATTCACGAGGGCAAACATTGACGTGACTTTTAGTGTGTGTATCTGTGTGTGTGTGTGTGTGCGTGTGTATCTCCAATTTATTTATTTTTTCTTTCTATTTTGTGGGTGTAGATGAATTACTTTAGCACAAAAGCTATGCGCAACACATTTAGATATATCGCGATAAATTGCTTTTGTTACCTTTGTGAAATGCATTTTTAGAATTCCTTTTACCCAAGTCTGTAGATAGACAATTAAAATACTGTAGTGTGAGTTATTTTGTATGGACTGAGTTGTTTATATATATATATACATATATATATTTATAAAATAGCTTTTTTTTTGGTGTTCGGCGGGTCGGGGAGTAGGTCACAACAATAAACAACTTCAGTTAGTGCGGCAATGGCAACTCACATTCACGTATTACCTATTTCATCTATAAGATCACCCGAGCATAGATCAGAAAGCCGATGTATCGTTCTGCCTTTAGCTCTGTGCTTATATATTTGCTTGCTGATATCTTCTTCTTCGTCGTCATCGTTATCATTATCGTCATCGTCATCGTCATCGTCGTCGTTATCGTCATCGTCGTCATCATTGTCGTTATCTTTGTCATTTTCGTCATCGTCTTCATCGTCATCATCTTTGTCGTCTTTTATGTCCTCGTCGTCTTCTTCATCATCGTTTTCATCCTCGTCCTCTTCGTCTTCGTCGTCGTTGTCTTCATCGTCTTCGTCTTCGTCATCGTCATTATCTTTATCGTTGTCGTTCTCGTCGTCGTCGTCTTCGTCATCGTTTCCATCCTCATCTTCATCATCGTCTTCATCATTTTCATCGTCGTCCTCGTCCTCGTCATTGTCATTATCGTTATCTTCGTCATTTTCATCATCGTTATCATCATCATTTTCATTGTCGTTATCGTCATCGTCCTCGTCATCGTCCTCGTCCTCGTCTTCATCATCGTCTCCGTTTTCATCGTCTCCATTCTCATCGTCATCTTCATCGTCATTGTCATCATCTTTTTCGTTATCATTATTATCGTCGTCTTTATCGTCATCGTCATCGTCGTCGTCGTCGTCGTCATTGTCGTCCTTATTTTTATCGTCATCGTCATCGCCATTATTATCGTCATCGCGCGAATGTTTTCGTAATCGTTCTTTTCGTATCGTTTGTTGCAGACGTTTTAGTTTTTCTCTTTTATCCGCATCACTTTCTTTTGGATAGCTCAATTTAACAATTTTCTCATCACTTCCATCGTCATCGTTGCCTATTATATATCATATATATATCGAAAGTATTCATTACGTTTTGTCATTTTACAAATGGCTATAAACGGGTAGAATGATATTTGGATATATCCGACTTGCTTGGATTTGATATGCAATCTCTATTTTATTTTTTTGGTTTTTTTTTTTTATTTTGGCCAAGATATTGTGGGCTCAACTGATTTGATATTGAATGTTTGGCTTATGAGCGTGAGTTAGAAAGCAGAGTAAACATTTGAAACAAGAACGCTTACTCTTTTGATTGATTAACCACTGCAGCACACGATTTTCATTTTTGAGATTACCTTTAAGAATATTAAATAGCAATTAGTAACAATTATATGATTTAAGGCTTTAGAGATCAGGTCAGCTTACCATCATACATGATCGGAACGCCTGTCTCGTAGTAGACTAAGGCTGGGAATGCGAAAATGCCAATTTCATGGGCCAGCTTAACATCATTCGATTTGACAAACTGTATGCCATGTTTATCGGTATCGTCATCGATATTCTCCAATTCTTCCAAGATGCCGGGGCACGTCTCACACTCATCGTCGTCTGTGGATGGAATGAAAAAGGCATTGTTAAACTCGATTTGCTTACAATATTGTCGTTATTCGAACGCACAGAAGAAAACAGCGAGATGTTCCACGTCGTTGATCAACACTTGCAGCGTTTTGCGATCGACCGATTCGATAACATCGGCAGTCGACTCATGCAAATCGATAACCCATTCCAGAATTTCCTCTTCCTTCATCAGATCACCTTTGAAAAGATGTCCCATTATGTTTATTTCACTATCTCACATAATATTATTGTTGACTTACCGGTGTAAATTGTTCTAAACTTATGTCTATAAAATGCAAGCGCCGGCAAACCGGGCAAATCGTATTCCTTATCAATATCGTCATCGGATGTCTTTACAAAGTCGATGTCTTTTTCCTCGCATTCGTCATCGATGTTCTCCAATTCGTTGAGGATCTTCTGTGCCTTCTTATCGCCCTCGGCGTCTGTTTGCGAAAATAAACTTGAATATAATAATTTTTAATACGATTTTAAGTACTTACAGAAGAACACGACAACATGATCGTTTTCTGCCAAAATTTTATCCAACATTTTCACATTGACCTCCTCGATTTTTCCGGGAATCTCGAGGGTTTCGTCATCGGTGATCCAAGCCAAGACCTCGTCCTCGTCATCCAGATCGCCCGTAAAGTGCAATGGATCACGATTTCTGAAGAACACCAATCGTGGATAAGATTTGACATTGTATTTCTTGGCGACGCCGGTATCCTCAGTGGTAACAAATATAATGCCGGCCTCGTCTAGCTCATCGTCGATGCTTTCCAATGCGTTCAGTGTATGGTCGCAGGACTCGCCCGGTTCGCAGGGACCCGTAAAGAATACAACAACATATTCATGCTCATTGATCAGATTGACGAGAATCTCATCGGTGACCTCTTCGATGGTCGCCGTTTTCTTCTGCACCACCAGCCACTCAAGGACCTCGTCCTCGTTCATCAGATCACCCTCGTACAGAGCGGGTATCTTGTTCTCAAAGTAAATCAGCGCGGGCAAATGATCGAGACCGTATTCCTTGGCCTCGGCGGCATTATCGATGCGCACAATGACAATGCCCTCCTTTTCGAGTTCATCGTCAATGTTCTCCAGTTCGTTCAGGATGCGCATGTCCTGCTTGTCTTCCTTGTCATCTGGAAAGAGGCTAAACGTTTAGAGATATGTTATCGATAAGTATTTTGTTGGCTTACAGAATATGACTGCCAAGTGCTCGGTATTCTCGACCAATTTGTCCTTCATTTCGTCGGTAACCTCGGGAATTTCGGAATAACGCTTCTGATGCACCAGCCAGCCAAGCAGCTCATCTTCTTTCATTAGATCACCCTCGTAGATGTGCGGAATACCACGTTCGAAGAGCACAATCGAGGGTATCTCATCGATACCCCATTCTTTGGCTTCTTTATCGTCGTCGATTTTCACGAAAGCGATATCGTTCTGATCGCACTCATCGTCAATGTTTTCCAGTTCTGCGAGAACTTTCTGTGATTTCTTTTGATCTTTGTCATCTGTGAAAGATTGTTATCGATTATTCTGGGTCTCTAGTGTTATCGATTGAAAAAGGAAAAACGCAATACAGGCCTTCTAAAGCTTTTAAGACCCTGACTACTGAAAAGCTCTCAACTTGCAACTGGCTTCATACTACCAAACGATTTAGATATTACATATATATAACTACCCAACATTGTGTTTGATCCTGAAATCAATTAAGTTTGTCCGTTTTAGTTTTATGGATTAGTCAAAGCGCTTTTAAAATTAATTAATTTATAAGCACATCGAGCAGCTTTTTGTTTTGTTACGATTAAATGCCAGACACTCAGACACACCCCGGTATTACAAATACAACATATAATATTTATATAGGCATATATAGACGATCTATACATTATCTACAGTTGAGTTGGATATGTCCAAACGAGTTTGTTTTTTTTTTTGTTTTTTGGGAGGGAGTTTTGGGTTTTGTGGCCCAGAAATCACTTACAGAAGAGCACAGCAACGTGGGGCATTTTCTCAATGATCAAATCCAACATTTCATCGGTAATGTCTTCAATTTGATCGGAACTAGTTTGTTCTTCGAGCCATTTTAATAGCTTCTCCTCATCCTCCAGATTGCCTTCGTATATAGTTGGAATGCCTTTTTCAAAGTATATCAGTTTAGGAACTTTATTGATGCCATATTCAACGGCCTCCTCGGGATTGTCGATTTTCACGAAAGTAATGCCCAATGCGTCGCATTCGTCGTCAATGTTCTCAAGTTCTTCGAGCACCTTTTGGGATTTCTTGTCGTTGTTGTCGTCTGCAAAACAACAGATGAGCAAAATGCGCCTAGTCTTGTGGTATATATTTTTTTCATATTTACAGAACAGCACTGCAATGACGCGTCCTTCTTTAATCATTGTATCGAGCATTTCATCGGTGACATCCTCGATTTCATCACGTTCCAACTGTCCCAACAACCATTTCAGTATCTGTTCCTCATCCATGAGATCGCCATCGTAAACGTTTGGAATTTCTTTTTCAAAGTATACAATTGCCGGAATCTACAAATGTCGCATGACATATCATTATTGTATTTGATTTTATTTTATTTTTTTTTTGATGGGCCGTACCGAATCGATTCCGTAATCGGCTGCCGCCTTGGCATCGTCGATTTTCACAAATTGTATGCCATGCTTATCGCAGTCATCGTCGATTTGTTCTAGCTCTTCCAATACGGTCATCGAATCATCATTGCCATGATCATCTGTTGAGATGATTGGAGATGGGAATTTTGTGCTATCGATAATTATCGATTCTAATATACATACAGAACAGCACAACCAAATTATCGATATTGCTTATGAGCGTCGATAACGTCTTGGTGGTGACATCCTCGATAACATCGTCCTCATCGCCGGTCGATTTATTTTGCACCAACCACTCCAAGACATCCTCCTCGCGCTGCAGCTCACCTGCGGCACAGACACGATTCGATAATAAAGTGTATTTCTTTTTTGTGTGAATTTTTAAATGTGTTTCGTGCGTGAGGAGTGTGTGAAGAGCAACGGCTACGTTTTAGGGATTTTGGCATGCTGTACCTTCATAGATGATCGGAGTCTGATGGCGATAGTAGACCAATGCCGGCAGATTGCCCAGGTTGTATTCATCGGCCAATGCTTCGTCGTGTATTTTCACAAAACCGATGCCCAGTTGATCGGCCTCATCGTCGATATTCTCCAATTCTTGCAAGGCCTTGGCGCATTTGCGGCATTGCTGTTTATCTGATGAACGATGTGCAAAGATTAGATATAATTTACTGCAAATCAACTTCCTTCAAAGGTTGACATTAGACTTGGTTTTTTTTTTGTTTTTGGTTTTTGGATTGTAGCACAATTAATGGTACATATATATTTTTTTAGTGTTCTTTGGCAAGGTCGTGCTGAAATTGCTTTGGTTGGGGGCTGTTTTTTTTTTTGGGGGGGATTTAACACGCTGCGCTTTTCTTTTTTATTTGTTTTTTTTTGGTATATAAGTATCGTAATTATCGCATCATTCTCGTGTGCAACTGTAAGGTTAAGGTTAATTGAGTACAAAATAGATTTCACGTTAAGGTGCATGCAAGACGAGAATAGAATTGGAATAGCGTGAGCTCAGAGCAATTGGGAATCGTATTGGACCATTTGGCTGCCAGCAATGGTATTGAAAATCGCATTATCCAATCGAATCAAATCGTTTGTTTACAAAATCACAAAGAAGGAAAAATAATTTGTATCTTTCGTATACAACCTGTTGCAAAATGCAAACGGAAATGAATGCTGCGCAACAATCGAACCAGAACAGATTGCTTACAATTTAAAAGGGCACATCCAACAGCAAAATAAATAAAGATTCTCTCTTTAGGTCCTCTCCTAACTAACTATAAAAAAAGCTCGCTCTTATTTCTATTTCGCTGGCGACATTTATCAATTTTGCTGTGAGTTTATCTTTAGCAAGCTTTCCTTTTGGCTGTCGCTGCGTATACGTAATATTCTATAACACAATTTCAAATATTTATTTTACAAGTGTCTTGAAAGTTTCCGACAGCTTTTGCTTGCATACAATTTAGTTTATTTTAAATACTTGTATTTATTTATATTTTATGACATTCGTAAACTTGTTTATTGTTAAGTAATCTATATTTTTTTAAATTATTTATTATATTTAAGCTGACATCATTTCTTCAAATTTAAGTTTGATATAAAATGTTTTGCCTATTTTAATTTTCTCTGTTTCAACCTTGTTTTGTTTTCCATAATTTCTTTTTAATTGTTATAAGTTAATACCAAAAAAAATTTTATTAAAATCATGACCTCTAGCTGAAAATTCTGAACAATAATTTCAGGCAATATGTAAATATTTTCCTATGGAACAGCTATTTTAACCGGGTGAGTGGGTGTCGCCAAGGTGGCAAGGCCACAGACACACACACACACACAGCCATACACCCACACAATCACACACATATATAGACACACACAGACAGACAATTTATGCATATATTACTGTGCAGCGCCAGTGACTAAACATGTTTATGTTTATAGTTTTGACAGGTTTCTCGGTAAACTTTTGCATTTAGTATGCAAAATGCATTAATGAATTTACCGCAGACTTGGGCAAATACTAAAAATAGTGCAAGTCAGTCGGCTGGCGCACACATTTGCACTATATAAAACTAAATATATATATATATATATATATATATATATATATATATTTATTATGTAAATTTGCATTTGGCTGCAACTAAAGAGCTGCCCATAATGACATCCATGCCGGCTCGTGTGTGCCAGCATCTTGATGTATTGCTGTATGCAAAAGCAATTAAAACTGCTGTCTGTCTGCAGTTGTAGGAAAAAAGATTACAAAAAAAAAAACTACACAACAAATGCAGTGTATTTTAAGATACCCTGCAACAGGCATACAACGGTTTAACAAGCTTTGCTTGAGTTGCTTTGTTTATCTCTATGAAAATGTTCATGAGTGCTTAAATTTAAATATATTTAAAAAAAAACCTTGCTATTGCTTAAATTGTGATAAATTTACTTATTTATCCTAATTGTAACATGCTTGAATATATCTAATTATTGCCCCGTTAGCACTTTTTTGTGCTTTTAAGCAGTTTTTCATCCGAAGTCTTGTGTGAAAGAAAGTCAATTAAGCTTAATTAAATTAATAAAAAATAATGCCTTTATTTTTATTTATATTTTTATTACTTTGTTCGGACTTTATTTTACTTTATTTGAGTTGTATTCACTTGTGCAAAAAATCAATTAGATAGTAACTAAAACGATTTTATATTCGAAAAGCCTTTTAGCTCATGGATTTATTGCCATAAAATTCATATTATTTTGTATTATGCGAACAAGCTATTTACTCAGGGTTTTTTCATTTTTGAATCAAAAAAATTATGAATTTAATTTCAGAGTGTCAAAATCCAATAATACTAATAATAATAATAACAATAATTTAAAAATCTATTTTGTTATATATTACAAATAAAATGGATACTAAATACACATATATTTTTTTAAATACAACTCCATAACAAAATAAATATATAAAATTAAAACTAAATAAAAAAATGTACATTTAATGCTTGTGTAAATTTTGCTTACAGGGTATTAAAATAGATATCAACTGTGAAAAAAAAAAGCAAGAGCCAAACTCATGTGCGTTTGTCGATGCGCTTAGAAATTTTCGACAAAAGGCAGAACAATGGATGCAGAACAGAAGAAGGCAGAAAAAAAATATGTTGTTCTTGTCTCACCTACATGCTGATCATCTATGCGAAGACCTTTGTGCGCTGTCTGCGCTTTATAAAAATACTTGTACTATTGATGTGCACATACAGACAAGCGCGCGCACACACACACGCACGCATATATGTGCGTGCGTGTGTGCGCGGCTATATATGCACGCGCGTATACAGTTAGTTGTTTGAAAATTGAGCAAAAATAACAGCAGCGAAAAATCATTTTGTTGGCCAACCAACTGCTTGAGTTTCTATTTATAGACCAAAAATTGTAGGTGGCTTCTGATGTGTTGAAAAATACAAAAAAAAAACCACAAAAAAACCAAAAAAAAAAAAACCAGCGCAAAAAAAAGGAACAAAAACAAATAAATAAAACGGCTACACTTTGTTGTTGCTGCCGCCCTTGCTGCGCCGCCGCCCCCCCCCCCCTCAGCCCCACCCACACTTTAAAAAGCTAATACGTTTATGTTTTGTATGAAATTGTTCATTTCCTTTGTTCCATCAACCGCGGCCAATTTATTTCCAGCTATATGCGAGCATGTCTATATAAGTAACTGATCTCTTCTGATATCCACAACAATTATATCACAAATATTATTTATTCTTGATAGAATGCTGGACAGCTTGACGGACATGCGTTTGTTTTAGATATTTTTTGATTTATCTCGCTGTGTTTGCTGCCATTTCATTTGATGTGTTTTCTATAAAACACTCGAGTTAGGGCTGGCTGCGGCCCCGCCGGGCCGCAAACATGGTCTGGCGCTGAGCCCAGACATGCATGTGCAAACGCTGCTGCTGCTTCTTCTTCTTCTTCTAGTTCTTCTTGTTGTTGGAGTCTTATTTTTATACGTATACGTAATATTTGGCTTTTTTTCTTTCTTTCTTTTTGTCTGTGCGCGGCGATAGCGCGTTTTGCCAATTTGTTTGCCAGTTACATTGTCATTATCTATCGCATGTCTATATAATTAATATGCTTGTTGTATATAGAATCAAAAAATAATGAACATAGATCAGTTAGCAATAATTTGATCAATGCAAATGTAACCCTTTTGCTAATACAGCTGTCTGTGGGAAATGTGATACTATCTATTCTATATATATATGTATATTTAGTCCCATTTTATAAGAACCAAATGGCATGGAATATACGTCAAGTATATAGCATCAAAAAATAATAAAGATAGATCAGTTAGCAGTAAGAAGATCAATACAAATTTAATTGAACACATTTTATTAGTTCTTTTTCTTTAACTAATACTTCTGCATATTAGAATTGCAATACTATCTATAAAATTTCAGATTAATTTTATAAAAACCAAATGGCAAGCAAAATACGTCTAGTATATATAATCAATAAATAATAAAGATAGATCAGTTTACAATAAATATATCCATTGTTTTTAGAACCAAATGGCAAGCAATGTAAACCAAATCTAATCTCTAAAGCAGAGAAACCTAAGTTTTCCATATCTGAAAAGTGACAATCTTAATCACTATTTTAAAAAACTTAGTTAAATTATAGCGTACAGTTTTATATTGTTGTTATATTGTTGAGTTTTCTATTATTCCGGAGCTCAAACTTGAAATTTCATGAGACTGTTCATTTAGCAAGACTTTTGCGCCTTAACCCCTAAACATCTTGGGCCCACAAGGCTGCTTAAAAATAATATATTCCTATTTATAATATAAGAAAAAATATATCTCTTAATATATACTTATATATACTAAGCATTTATATATATACTAAGCATTTATATATAATATGCATACACAACATATATAAACAACACTCAGAATTGGAAAGTCTTGAGTAAAGTAAACGAAAAATGTCGTAATCTTTTAAGAATAACATAAAATATATACTTCTTGAATATAATTATTGTAATATAAAGCTATAATCGACCCAAAGCTGGCTGATTCCATACAATTATTTTCAGAAATTCCCGAGCCCTGCTCATTTCGCTCCGAGGACATTGTGAGTATAACATTTAGGTTAAACAGGCTTTCAGAGGCGGGCAACAGTTATAGGTATATGTACACATATATACAGGACGAAAATGTTATAAATATTTACACAAGTTGATACAGGGGCGTTGGTGAGGCTTTTGTGCATATGTATGTGTAGTATACTGTTGGTGGGAAGAGAATCGTTTTAGAGGAAAATTACGATGAATTGGGCAAGTTGTTTAATCGAGTTAAATTGTTTTTTAATTGATTTAACTGGACAATTTGGATAGGGACTCACAAGTCAAGTCAAGGACAACCCATTATTAGCATATGCACAAACTTACCCATTACCCTGGGTGGGCATGTTTCATGATCAGGACCTGTTGTCGTTTGAATAGATACAACGCATACATATATATTGGCTTATGTAAATATATGCTTAGAAATGTCGGGGGCAACGATTATAGATTGTCGATAATCGCCCAGCCGTTATGTATATAGAGGCAGATGATATATAATCTTATATAGAGTTAATATGCCGCCGTACTTGGGTTAGTAACAAGATAGTACAGTTTAGTTAATAGATATCTAAACAGATATATGATACTATATTTTTATATATATATATATATATGTACATAGCTAGGTAAAATTGTATTCAAGTTTTGTACCTAAGTTGTATGAATTTTAGTCACAAGAGAGCTTAACTGGTTTTGTTCTTGAATTCAAATTAATGAAATTTTCTTTTAACGCTAAAAACTGCAACTGCTTTGAAATATTCCACCAATTAGTGTAAATAAAATCATAGATAATAATAATTAAGATAGAAGAGCGAGAGAGAGTAAAGAGAGTTATAGAACAGAGAACAATTTGTACTCACAGAATAGGACGGCAACAAAATCGGTATCCTCGATAATCTTAAGCAATATCTTGGCGTTAACCTCCTCGATGCGATCGGGCAGATCCATGGCCTCCAGCGAGGTGAGAAAATCGAGCACGCCCTCCTCGTCCATTAGATCGCCATCATAGATGATGGGCTCCTTTTCCCTAATATTTTGGATATCGATTCATTCGCTTGAAGTTGTTTTTGTTTGTTGTTGTTGTTGTTGCATTTGTTTACCTGAAATAGGTGAGCGCCGGAAAGGTCTTGATGCCATATTGTTTGGCTAGTCGTTTGTCGTTAATTTTCACAAAGTCCACACCAAATGAATCGGTGTCATCGTCGATTTTTTCGAGCTCCGCTAAAACCTTATCACAGGTAACACAGCTACGCGCATCTGTAAGCAATTAAACAATTTTTGATCATAATACACAATGCGATTATTTTTGTCAACGATTTTTTTTGCAGAAATCTTATAAAGATACCAACATGAATTGACGGCTGGCAACTGTCGCGTGTGACGCCAAATGCCGCGGCGATTATTCATTGCGCTACAGGATGCATCATCGGTAATGCAACTGCCCCTCCCTGCCCGTCCCCCCCCTCCTCTGATTCCCCGCTACTAATCATCGTATATAGTAGAGAGCAAGAACCGCAAATGGCATTCTGGGCACCCAACGGCCCAGGCTAGTGAATGAAATGACAGCAGCAGCAGAGATTCTGCATTGCTTTCTACTATATTGTATGTGGCTTACATGGCGGATATTTATATATACATATATATGGTATATATGGTGCATATGTTATATATATGGTTAGCTATTAATGTGTGTGCACAACTGCCAACCGCATTTCGCTAAATTAATTCATAAAAATTGATGCAGCCACTATTAGGGAAATGAATTGCACCACACAACAAGCCATGTCCACGTGTGCGTGTGTGTGTGTGTGTGTGTTGGCGGCATCGGTTTTGGGTGGTTGCACGCCCCTATATTATACAATTTATAAGATGTGCAACAGTGCATCTATTCACAAAATTATTATATTATATTTTTGGTTGGTTTTTCCCTATTTAAAAGTAAATTTTATTTTCCGATTTGCGGCAGTTAAAAGCGGTTTACGCTAGTCAAATGTATAAATTTGCATAAATACTTGAACTTCATTTGTTTAGCTTAGATGTGTTTGCGAATAGAAAAACAGCGTCCGCCAGTCTGTTGCTCGATTTTATGGTTTTTTATGCGCGTCAAATACATGGAACAGATGCTGCGCCCATATTACGTATACGCAATATTTGATTTGTCTTAAATTGATTTAATTTGTTGTTGTTTTTCCTTGCATAGATATATAAATATATACATTATCTGTTAGCAATATTTTCACAACGCATTGCAATAACATTAATAGCATTTACTTGAAATAATAAACAAATTTTGTTGACTGCAAATTTTTATGGCCAATTGCATTGCCAATTTCAATGAGCTGCCATTTGCGTAGGCGTTTCTTCACCCAAAATTTATATACTTTCTACTTTTACTTGATTTAGCTGCATAAATCATTGAATTATTGTTGCATTCAAAATTTCAGTGTCAACAAGCGAAACATTTTGGAAAATTCACAATCAATGCTATAGAAAAATTTATTTTCGTACATTAACTAATGCATTTAGATAAATGTAAAATAATTTCAAGTTGATTTTTAATTAACTTGCGACATATACATATATGATATATAAATTTTGTTCTTTCCATTATAAATACATATAAATATGTGGGATATATGAAAATTTTCCCTTGAGCGTAACAATATCCACAGTCTGAAGGTGATTAAACGTTTGGAAAACGTATTTAACATGTTTATGGCAGCTATTTTTAAGCTGATAAATTATAAGCATGCGGCGATTTGTTTATGCGAATTTAGCGCTCAATTTTTATATTTTTATAAGCTAACAAATTATTCAATAAAAATTTCATTGGCAAGAAATGCTTTATCCATGCAGAAAGTAAACTTTGCAATGCATTAAATTGAGGGCATTTTTTAATATAAGAAACGATCTACATAGCTGGAGGGGTCTTGGCATTGGCTAGCTTATTTACTGGCCAATATTTTCATGGCATCCCTTGACTGCCAAAACTGTTTGAGCAGCAGCAAGAAAAACTACTCTGGCGACACACAGAGAGATACATATATTGCAGAAAGCACTAAAATAAGAAGAACAACAACGACGCACGGAGACGGCAATTTCTCACAGCCAAAGCGATTGCTCTGCTCATAAACAGAACGCAAAGATACCACTAGGGGGAAAAATAGAAACAAGAAAAAAAAGCGAAAAAAAAAACCGAACAGAGACTACTAGCAACAAAATAAAAAAAAAAAAAAAAAAAGAAGAAAAGGAAAAGGAAAAAAAAAAACTAAACCGAATGAAAATCTCAAGACATTTCGTACAACGAAATTTTTCACATATTTTCACTTGTATGCGAATTTTTAGAATTTTCACTAGAGAAAATTTATATAATATGGCTTCTGTTACTATTTCGAGTCGCACGGCCATCGTGCGTTCAAGAAGATTAAATCGAATGCTATCGCAGCGCCCGGATCTCAAATCTCCTCGCCCATTACTACACAACTACAAAAGGTATTTGTGTGTGTGTGTGTGTGTGTGTGTACTTACACCAGAAAACGGCAACGTAATCCTTGTCGGCCAAGAGCTTCTCCAACTGCTTGGCATTGACCTCCTCGATGACGGCCTCTGGCTCGAGCGGCGCCGCCGCTGGCTGCGATCCTTTCTTGTTAGCGCAATTCACATATCCGGGAAAACTCAGTGCCAGTAACGTACACACGAGCAATGTCAGAGTTTTTAATCGCGTGAAAGTCATCTTTCGATTTCCTTCAATACGTTCTAATCAAATTACTTTGGCTTGGCCGTTGCGATTAATTTTTGTTGTATTTTACAATTATCTTTAAACTGTTAACTCAAACATGCGTGCGTGTGTGTGTGTTTAAAATGATATTATTATTATTAATATTTATTGATTGGATTGAAAAGTTAGCAAATATTCGTCGTTTATTGGCGTTGTCGTTATTTAGAAATTATAATTTGATTTTTTTTTGAAAATTTGAAAATTAAGGCACTATTTTTAGTTGAAAATCGTATTTCTTTCGCGTACACTAATACATATACTTTGCGCGCATATATATACAGGCAAAAATATATATAGGTTATATATGAGAAAATTAGATTATATATAAATATATATATACATATGTATATATGCATATATATTTCTATTTATTGAATGTTTTCCGCGGACTGTACTCTTTTTAGTTTTTCAATTTTGTTCCACTCCGTGCAGAGGTCCGCTCGCAACTGAAAGTCTTTTGGTGAACATTCTATGCCAATCAAGAGGCCTAGTCAAGCTTTAGGGATCTTATATTTCGGGCAATTTAGCTTTTTGCCATAGCTTTCGGAATGAGCGATAGAGCGCCAAACGGACCGCTGCATGATCGCCCAAAAAGTGTGGTGAAATTTGGGAAAACGAGCGAGAGCTGTTCACATCGTCTGCTTTGCGTTGCAATTCTTTGTTTATGCATCTCGACAACTAAATACATATATATAGAGACGCTCGGTGGTCTTACGAAACTTCCTGTAAAAACAAAACTGGCAAAGTACCCATGTATGTTGCCTGTACTGTATATACAACAAGAAGGAAAGTATAAAAAGCAATTGTGAAATGCGTAAATGTATTTAAATCACAACAGCTGCGCGCACATGGCCGCTCATGTGAAGCAAAACAAAATCATAATTTTTGATTTATAAATGCAAATGATGAGTTCAATATAATTCTTACCTAAGATCTATTGCAAGTGCAAGAGCAATGTACGTCAAAGCAAAATAGATAAATAAATCAAATGTTATCACAGAAAAAAACAAAATAGAGAGTGAGGTTAAGTAATTTAAAAAGGTGTTTTTAATAACGGTTATATGTAAGGAACAATATCTTAATAATTAGCAATATATGTTTTTTGAGTTTAATTTGTATTTAACAGTCATATAACCACTAGCAATCATAATCTAATCATAACAATTATTATATCTTGTAAAAACTCATCATAAATTTCTAGTTTGATGCGTTTTTGCCAGTTAAGTAAAAATAACAGCAAATTAATTTTTAAAGTGCTTATATCGATACCAGCGTGAAATCGTTTATTTGAAAATAAACGATATACAGCTATCGATACTGTTTGTTGAGCGTATATGTAGACATGTTCCATGTGATATATTTTCGCTCTCAAAATTCGGTCACACTGCACACATATCTCCCAAGTTTTGTTTGAGGAAGACGTCTCGTCGAGCTCTATTCCGTCAATTAATAGTTTCGGCCGTAAATGCAAGTGCAAATCACCAACAACCAAACGTTGGTATGCGTAGTGCATGCTAAATTCACAGTTAAAACATAAAAAACAACAAGTGTCTCAGCTCGTTAAGAAAAACGAAAGGAACGCTCCAACAGTCTAAAGATAACGCGCGCCTGTTGGAACCGTATAAAAATCGATTCGAATTTGTTCATTTTCAGGTAAAGTGCAAATCGATGAATGCAAAGTGCATTGATTTTACGTGTTTTACATGTATTTCAACAAAAACTGTCCAAATGTACACATATAAACGGTTCACCTTGAACTCGTGGGCACAGCCGAGGCGCCCCAGCCACAGACAGCCGCGCATACCAAAGCAATAAACGCCAAAACAAATTTTTTTTGCGATTTCTTCGATTTGCAGTTCGTTGCAGTTTTGTATGTACATAAAAAGATATTTGATGACTAGCGCAGAATATTGACATTGATAAGCGCAGCTATTCTTCAGCTGTAAGCTTTTTATCGCATTTCAATGTGAAGGTGAAAGTTATCAGCTGCTTGCAACGCTTTGGCAAATGTAATTTTGTTATTGTTTTGCACCATGGCCATGGCGACATTTGTATACTCTATTTTAGTAAGTGATGCATAATGAGTGTATTCAGTGCGGTTGCAAATTATGAATTTACTTTCGCAGTCAAATCCGACAGCTCTGTCAAAAGTTAGGTAGAATTCGTGATTTTTTATAGGGTATATGGTATTGTAATTCGTTATATTTGATAGGGTATATGGTATTGTAATATGGGCCCCAAGTACGTAACACATTACAGACAAAGCCTCTTAGGTATCATATATATATATGAGTTTATATATATATAGTCGATTTAGTATACTCAGCAATTACGATCTTTAGTCTGCTCCCACCGTATGTGCAAAATCTGATTAGCATCGAAATAATATATCATATAGCTGTTATAGAAACAGTAATTGTTATGATATATGATATGATATGTCCCATTGGAACGACCCGTCGAAACTTGTGTATACAAAAATATATCCCACATCTGCTTTATGCCCGCAAGCGTATTTAATGTTCGCCAAGAACTCTGCTTTCTTGTTTGTTTATAATCATATCCGGCACCAGTTGTTTATATCACATACTTACATTGCTGCAATTCAATTGCAAGGGTATTTGATATTTGAAGCAGAAGAAAATGTTTTATTTTTATAAGAAATGCCCAGGGTCTTTATCAGAAACCTGCCACTAAAGCCCATATATCATTAAATGTAGTAATTAAAAGATATCATTTGCTTCTTGTCAACTAGAACGTGTGCTTAAGCCCGGCTTGTTTAACTAGAAACCAGTTTAAAATATAAACATACCTGCAGCTGTTCAAAATCGCTAGTTTAAAGAACAAAATAAAGTTTTACTGTAGAAAAATACCCTAGACGGCTCTATAAGGAAAATTGTAGGAAAAACCCGCTCATTGTTCAGTCAGAATTCAATTGTCAACCCAGTTAAAGCTGCTTGTATGTCTAATTTATTAAGAGTTGAATAAAAATCTTTATCTTGCTCAATTTTCAGCAGGGCGCATGACAATTTAGCGGCTTGTATGTCATTATTACTATGAAATTGGATGAAATTGTCGCATGGTAAGCAATTGCATCACATCTATTTGACACACTTTTGATTAATGTTTTGTTGTTTTTTTTTGTAGGTACCAGAAACGAATCGGCACCTATGATAAACAAGAATGGGAGAAAACAGTCGAACAGCGCATTTTGGATGGCTTCAATAGCATCAATTTGAAGAACACCAAACTCAAGACAGAACTCATCGATGTAGATCTGGTGCGAGGTGCGTTAGCTTATACCACACCCTGTAAAGCCTTGATTCATCTTATTTATTTTGTTTTCAAACAGGCTCCACATTTCCCAAAGCAAAACCAAAACAAACTCTGCTCACTGTCATACGTTTGGCTATTCTGCGCTACCTTTTGCTGCCCCTCTACGCACAATGGTGGGTCAAGCAGACGACTCCCAATGCCTTCGGCTTTATACTCTGCCTGTACATCACACAACTGATCAATTGGGCCATATACATCATGCACAGCAATCGCCTGGCGCCGTTGGTCTACGATCAGGAAAAGAATACAACTGTTGTCGATGATGTGGCCACGGTTGCCGTCGATGATAAGCAGCACTCGGAGGAGAGTGCCGATCTGCTTAGTGCGCTGCTAATACCCTGTGCGCTTAGTTTGTTGATTAGTTTAATACACTCGCAGATTGTGGCAACAAATATGTCGCCGAGCGGCAGCAACAAAAACAAATTGCGTCGCTTTTCCATGTGCAATTTTGGTGATAAACCGAATGCGCCCAGAGAGCAGCGATTGCGGCGACGCAAAAAGTTTGTGCGGCAAGTAGAGCGTATAAATAATCATAATTATACTCGAATCAATTATTATTTTATTGCACAGCCTGCGCCAAGCCGAAACGGATATTTCACAGCCCAGCAGCAATCATTCATTGAGCGCGCGACGTAGCAAACTGACTCCTCTGAACACCGAAGCCAGCTCAGATTTAATGCCCTGCAATTGCAGCCCAATACCCAGCGAGGAGACCTTCCCAACCACAACTGCCATAACCATACATCATCATCAAGCAGCTGCAGCGGATAGCACAACGGTCAGCGAGCCGCTGTACGATCTCAGACAGGTGGCAAATGCTGCACCTGACAGTCCGCATAAGAAGCGCAATGTCAATTGGCATACGCCCATCCAAATCTATGCCACATTCGATCAGAACGAGCTGCCCTCGTCTAGCATTGAGCTGAGCAACGGGCCAGCGCCGAGTGGCGCATGCTTGGATCCAAATTACAAGGCACGTCGCAGCATTGGCGAAGACGATGGCTTCGAGAGCCTGAACAATAAAAGCTCCAGTGGCGAGGATAACAATCATTCTCCCAATGTAACCAATGTTGTAAGTGGCAGCGCCACAACCACTGTCATTTCACCGCCCGCCACACATCTGCGCCTGCGCCTAAATGTGGGCGGCAGCAATAACACCAACGGCGGCGGAAGCACCAATGCGCCGTCAACTGAAAAAGTCACCCATGAATCCACGAGCAGCTGTGCAGAGTCCGATGAATGTGACGATGCGGATATTATATCCAGTCCCGCATCGGCTGGCACACAAGAGTGCAATACATCAGCCACCGATTGGCTGGGCGTGACCACCAACAGTGAAGATTGCAGCTATACATCCGAGTTGGAACAATCCGATGGCGGCTATAAGCATCAGCCATGCAGCGATGAGGAGATTCCAGAGCTGGACATAACACCCACAACCATACTCAATCCGCACAGCAGCATGGATCGCAGTAAGTTGTGTCCCAATTGAATGACTGACTGACTGATTGACTGCTTGATTGATGATCAATGTACAGCTTAAACCAAACTTGGCTGCTGAAGATTTTCCAGTAGTAAGATTCGGCGCTGTTTTTGGGAAAACTCCTCCGACAAGACAAAGAGATGTTTCCACTTCCATTTGTAGAAAATGGAAGTGGAATGTTGTAAGGATCAGTCCGTCTCATCCTCAATTTCATTTTGCGGGGATTCATTTGAGACGTAATTTGAACTTTTCCGAAATTCCACTTTCCTTTGTGAAAAAGCGTTTCTAATCCAGTTCAATTTATTTTGGGTCCATCCCAAATTATATATATGAAATTAATGAAAACGTATTTTACCGAAAACAAACTGATTTAAAATTAAATAGATATTTATTATTATCTAGATTGATTTATTTTAATTAATCATCGTCATCTCTTCACCCCAGTTAGCTGCACCATTTGGGATCAACGCGATGCGAAAAAGGCTCAAATGTCTGTGCTGGAGATAGCCTCCTGCATTATTGAGCGCGTCGATTCGCTGGGCGTGACCAATGATTACATTTACATAGGCGTCTTTTTCTCATTCCTACTGACGCTGATACCCACATTCTGTCGGCTATGCG